ACTTTTGCGATGTCTCAACTTCAAAAGTGGTCCGACGTTGGTGTGTCTTCTACATTTTGACTTGGAGATGTGCTTCGCGCCACATCTCTTATCTGACCACATGGCTCCGCACCCGCCGCTTTAGGCTAAAGCGAGCCTACTTTTGGACCCCCCGAAGCCACAAATCATTGGAAAAAACACTTATTTCGCAGTTCGACGACTACTACAATGTCTAAACATTTGATCTCGCAACGTGAAATTGAGACAGCTAGACCAGCTATGGTGGAGGTTCCCTTGTCATGCCGAGGGCCTGGAATCGGGGGACCCAAGGTGTACGGGACCCAGCATCTAAGATAGTTCAGTTTTGACTTTCAGTAGTTCAGGGTATATGATAAGGGGCTCAAGACAAGTAGCACATATGGTTTTGTTGATTATTTAGTTATATATCATAGGGGCCCATATGGGCTAAAAACCTACCTGGTTTATTAGGGATCCTAAGCTAGGGATCAACCAGCCATGCCTTCAAATGGCGAAGGCCAAGCCATCCAAGGAGAGCAAGGACCGGTCATGTGAAGCAAGTGCAGTGGTGCTGAAATATAGGCGATTCATCATGAACTATCATCATGGGTTACGGGTTCTGATTCAAGTACATAAGCTCACACCACACATGCACAGACACATACACAGACACATACACACACACATACATGCATACACATATACACATGCACACACACATATACATATATATATATTTATTTATTTATACACATACAAAGATTGACATGCAGCCACGTGTTTGCTCACCATTGTCATGTACTTAAATGCATGGTCACCGTTGACCAATCATGAGATATTTGCAACATGACTTTGCAGCACTCATGAATCATGCCAATTTGAGGCAGGACAGCTGACTGGAAACTGTGAAGAACGTACCGTTTAAAATTGGGAACATGCAAGGTTATTTCTCAAATAAGTTTCCAAAGATTAAATTGGAACTCCAAGACATCCAAATTTCATACATGTTTTCATGAGGTTTTCTGTAGGTGAATCATCTTCCAAGGCCATTAGGTGGATCATCTTCCAAGACCATGTGTGAGTGTTTCATATTACCATTTGGTGGTGAGGAGCGATATGGAGCGCCATTGGCATCCATCCTTGGAGCTGCGAATTGAGTTTCCCAACCGTTTGAAAAGATTATCATATTATCATAGATTATCATTTTACATCATATTAACATACTAGATCATTCATAATTATATCATATGATCATGGATTATATTATCATATGTCATAGACTACCATACATTAAACTATTCTGATGAATCCTTTCTGCACGAAACGCCCAGAGTCACCAACTGCCAGGAGCCTGCTGAGGGTGACGAAGGGGAGAAGGCCAGGGCCCCAGGGTTGGTCCCAAGGGAAAAGAAACACGGCACTGAAATGGCGGAAGATAACGGAGAATATTTGAAATCAAAATATATTGAACATACGGGAAAGTATCATCTATACTAAATCTATACCATCCTGGAAACCCATATATAGTCATTTTTTTAATATATGTTTTGAGGCTGCAAGAAAGATGGTTAACCAACATTAACCAACCAAGATGGGGCAGATTTACCCTGGGGTCGGGTTAACATAGCTATGGAAACCATCCGCCCAATATGAACAGATCCAAAACTAATTTAAGATTTCTCATTTCAGGATAGTAGTATATAGTACCATATAGTACCCATGTTTGGCTTATGTCGTCCATCAAAATGTTCTACCCAAAAACACATGCCTTGGTGCCTTGGTCAATAGGATACTGTACCCCTTGATCCACTGGTGAAGGCTGTTTCCCTCTTGAAATTGCCATAAATTCGGGGGTGTGAGATTTTCCATGTTGAGACACACTCAGTTGCAGCACAGGAAGAGCCAGTTGCAGAGGTGCACCGAAGGAGTCCAGGAAACTGGATACCTAGAGGATAAGGGAACAAACTTTGAACAAACCAACGTGATTTGGTTCATCTCAAACCAACATGATTTGTTACATTTCCTTGGCGAGGAAAGAACATGTTTGCTTGGTTTGAGTTCCATGCCGTCTGGCTTCTCAAGTCCTTAGCCTTGATTCTGTTTCTCAAGGTAGAGGGAAGTTTTGGTAGAATCGTGTAATATATGTATCTCAACTCATTTTAATAGTCATTGTATATATATATATATGTATATACAATATATGCACATACATCCCATGTGGTCCCCATGAAATATCCCATCAACTTGTTGGGTTTGTAGAGTACATCACTCCTTGCCCCATGGAGTTGAATTTAAGCGTGGATCATGCCGAAGATATTCCCAAGAATATCCCCGACAACCGGAAAGTCATACGGGCCTGGTACCTGAACATGGGATTCCTAAAACTCCCATTCAAATATCTAATATGGAAATAGATGGATATATTTGTTTCCATGTTTTTCCTAAGGCCCACAGTGATCATTTGGCTGCTTGTTTCAAATAGTTGTTGATCTTCCATAGAAATGCGATGATCAACCTCCCGGCCATTTTGTCGGACCAAAGAGGTACACAACTGACGTCACCCGAAGAAAAACACAAGTTATAGTACAGTGTAAAGCCATTCAACCATGGGAAAAGAACAGTTCAAATCCTTCCAAATAGCCTTGTGAGACGAGTCAACCTTATTTTGGCTGTCTACTTCCGGATCCCCAAGTCTTTAAGCAACTCTAGATCCCGAAACACTGGCTTAAACACCGCTGCGAGGGCTAACAAGGTGGTGCTCCCCATAGTTATAAGTTGGTTATCAACCCTCGTTCACTATATGTCCATTTGTAGACGGCATGTATATATACATATGGTGTGTGTATATCTACCATAAACCCAACAGTTCTTGAAGTTGTAGAGGGCTTCGCCAACTGGTTGGGACTTCACAGTCGCGACTGAGTCGATTCTCCACAGGCCACTGCCAGTTCCACTTTCGCGCTGCTCGTCTCGCGCATGGCCTGGATGAATTCTTTGGGCCTGGCGGAGCCGAAAAACGCTGAGGCGAGAAATGGCAATCTTCCAGTCTCTGCAATAGGGAAGAATAGGGACATAGATACATAGATAGATAGATAGATAGATAGATAGATTAGATAGATAGATAGATAGATAGATAGATAGATAGATAGATAGATAGATAGATAGATAGATAGATAGATAGATAGATAGATAGATAGATAGATATATTATCCGTATATTATATGTATGTGTGGTTTTTAAATGTAATAATGATATCATTATGTATTAAAAAAAGAAAAACCTATGCGGATCGAGAAAAGCATCAGGTGATTTTGTCGTTTTTTTTTTTTTGTGATGATGTGTTCTTGAATGTGATGCCCCTAAAATGGGTAAGTTGATAACTAGAAATAAGTATAGGAATCATCACAGCTATATCTGATAGAATGGGGGGGGAACAATTGAGATAAGTAACAATTTTTATTGGCATTTAGTTGATTTAAGCAACCAACAAGTCGTTGTTCAATGGGGATAATGGATGACTGTAGAAACACGTCGTAGGGCCAAACATAATACATTTTTTTTAATTATATATATATATACACAATTATTATTATTGTTATTATTATTATTGTTATTATTATTGTTATTATTGCTTTTATTATGATTATTATTACTAATATTATTATTATTATATATAGAATATTTTAATAATAATAATAATATATATATATATATCAGATCTGAGAACATATTATATATAGTATATATATATAATATATATGCTCATGCCCTGCCCATGATCTACCCAGCACATGTTTGTATCCCAAGCTTCTCCCACAGGATGCGGTGGGGAAATGGCAACAGATGCGGAAGTTAGAGGTGGATGGCGGGCCGCGGAAGTCCAAACGAGGCAGTCCCAGTTTTGACAGGACAGGGCGGTGCTCCTGGGGGTGCCTGGCCGGAAGGGTCCAGTTAGCCTCTGGTAATTTCTTACAGTTTGCTATTGAAAATGACCATTTAGTTCGTTGTTTTTCCACATAGTTATGACAATTTACTAGAGGGTACACAGTCAGCTTGGGTTGTGTTGCCCCGAACTAAGATATCCTGCAGAAATCCCAATTAGCCATAGTAAGCCTAGCCCCTTCTTCGCTGGCCCAATGGTACATGGGTATGTTTTTCCCATCAAGACCCGCATTCTCAGAAGAGCGATGCGGGTGAATCGTGGAACGTGGTGGCCCGTGGTGGCACAACGAGATTCCGATGTGTTTCCACACTCCTACTTGACCATGTGAAATATGAACGAGAACGCATGGTGTTGGGATGGCAGGTGTATCACTTCTCTCATTTCCCCCAAGTGTTGCACGGTGGTGCCCCCCCAGTTATAAGTTGATATCTACCATAAACATCCATAAACCATAGTAATTGGAGTTATAAACCAACTTAGCTAACTATGGGGCACCACCTTGTGCAGCAGGGCAAGGTCTTCAACCGCGTCAGGATCGTTGTGAATTTCTCGCAGTTCCTACCGCCTGGGCGCTAGTTGGGATGGGCCCGGACATGGATCGCAGACAGAAGCCGTGGAAAATATTGGTTTCAACCACAGCAGAGACTTAAGAGATGATATGATGTTATGACATTAATACATCATGTTATATTATGAGTAATTGTGTCGCAATATCTTGGTTTATGTTTTTGTTCCTCATACAAGGTAGTGCCACCCAGCCACATTTGTTAGTTTATAATCTACCGAGGATTGGTGGCACCAAGGATAGCTGGTTAGTGGGTCCTTATTAATCTAGTCGTTGGTGGTTAATGAATCCTTAAGAAACCCAATCATTATTGGTTTAATCATGATGTTGGTCCCGATTTAATTAGTTATCACATAATGGAAAACATCTAATATTAACTCTATAATGAGAATATCATGGATGAGATGCTTTATTCTCATTAAATTCCTACTAGGTTACCATTACCCTCCAGTAATCAAACATAGTTTGCCGGAAAACCCACCATTTAGTTCCATTATTTTCCTAGCTATAAACGATTTTGTTCGGGGATTTCCCGGCCAGCTATGTTTGCTCACAGGATCTTACAGGAGGGTATCCCTCAGTTATATATATGGTATAAACGCCATTATAAAACATAATGTACCTTTGATATCCTTTTGTATCTTTATGAAATATCCCATTATAATAGCACTTAGTCTCCTATAACCTATACCTGGGATGGTTCTTCCCAACTTTGAAAACTCACCATGTGACTTCGCGCCCTCGGCGTCGAGGCAGTACTTCCATGCTCTGCTGGCCCCACCCCCAGAAAGTTGGGCGATTGAAGCCATGGCCCAGTCGAAAGTTCCTCGAAATTGACCCATTGATAGCGTGGATCTTTCCACTTCGCTATGTTAAATTACCAGGGGGTGTATAATATGATATCTACATATTATATATGTATATAATATTTTGTATATATAATATTATATCTACATATGTGCAATAAACGCCCATGAATCCGATTGTTGTAGGAGTTAGCTAAACAAACTTAGCCAACTAAGGGGCACAACCTTGTGTAAATGCTCACAGTTTTTGATGACTTGTTTGAACCTGCCGGGTATTTATCATCAATTTGATGAGATCGAATTTTGGACCGGGCCTCGCTGTGACTTGAGGTGTTGGCGATGCTTCACGCCTTTCTGTTTCGTTGCTTGGCCAATGGATGTTCAAAGCCGCATGCCGCTGGGATATGTTTGTTTTCAAGTGAGCTACTACGGTTGATCATGATCTCTGTCTTAGTATGTATTTACATGTGTTTGCGCATACTAAGTGTATCTTATGTAATTATATATATATGCATATTATAACTATTATTTCTCATATCAAAATGCACTAGTTACCCTCCTGTAAACTAACATAGCTGTGGAAAGTGGACCATTAAAATCAATGATTTACCATGATTTACCTATTGAAAAAATGTTTTTTTCCACATCTACGTTAGTTTTCTGGATTGTAGTGACTCGCCTCGCTCCAGGTTCCTACTTCGCTTGTTTACCGTGGCTGGTGCTGTGGCAGAGTCTTGGTTCAACAGCTCGGGTGGGTTAGATCGGTTGAATCCCATGTTTTATCCCAGAGTTGGGTCTTGGAATGGCAACATTTACGTCGGAAAACCCGGATATTTGAAGCTAGCAGCTAACAACCACGGTTTCTGGTTAAGATGTTCCGAGGACCATGTTTTTAAACCACACATTTTGAGATTTCCTTCAGATTCTTCAACCAATTCTGGGATGGAAGTTGAATTTTTCGCCGGAGATGTGAGCGAAATCCCTGGCAAAGATGTGGGTACTGTAAACCCAGCATTTCATGATCCACCAGTTTACTGGGGGGGTTCCATTCTGATAGCATGTTGTCACTTAAATTTGGGTGGTTTTCCATGAATCGACCGTTTTTGTTGAAGATCGACCTCCTGAAATAGCCATCCACAAATGAGACCTTCCTTTTTCAGTTTGGTAAATGGTTCTACTTTTTCCAGAAAGATGGCAGTGGGAACATGAATTAGATGAAAATAGGACGCTGAAATACATCTTAGATCATTTTAGAGTTGACAGAATGCTGTTTTTTGTTCCCGGGAAGTATTGGGTTAAACCCTGTAGTTGTTTGCAGGAATATGGGAACATCATCCAAAGATGGATGACTCTGCTGGGCCTCTATCCTGGATATCAAACAGGGATCACCAGCCAAAGTGATGATAAAACCGCGACCTGTGCGACCTGTGCGAAGAAGGAATTTGGAGAACTCGTGGGTAAACGTGCCACATCAGAACTAGATTGCGAGGATTCCGATTGTCGGTGGGAGGATGAATACTGTAGCAGGGGGTCCTATCCACGCGCCACTTGTACTTTTGTTTGGTTCGTTCCCCAAGCAGGGGTGAAAGCCATTTCTGTTCCAATCCATTTGATGCTCACCCATACGAACTGCTCACTTTAGGTCACATTTTTTAGTGTAAAGATATCATCCACGACTGCTGTATTTCTCCCAAGCTTGGCGGAAGAAAAGGGACAGTTCGAAAGAAATCTCCTGCAATGAATCCAGATTTGATGTAACACCACGAGCAACGTAGGGAATAAATCATGGCCATGTATAGAAAGTATAGTATAGTTTCCCATATGGTAATCCTATTTTTCCATTTGTTTTCCCATAATGTTGTTAAAACAATGCCATAAACCATCCCATTGTTGATGGTTTCGATCCCACCTATAAAAATTGTGACTTTGGGGATTGTTGATTGTTGTTTTACCATGTCTTACCCACATTCATTAATTGTTTGCGTATTGATGACTATAAGGATCCATAAGGATGGTTGCGAGTTGCTGCAGTTGGTGGTAACTGGTGCTGAGGACCGTGTCCCTGCTGATCCCTTTGGAGACTATGGAGAAGGTGCCCCCCCGTGTCGGGGTGTCCCCAAGAGTTGGTTATCTTTACCAACAAAAATGGTGGGTTTTCAGGCAAACGAAATCCACATTATTTGGCGAAGTTGGCCTGCATCAGTTGGTTACTGTAACTCTTGGGTGAAAAATGGTGAATAAAACCCAAGTATAACCAATAGTTAGTTGGGGTTTATAAGCCAAGAAACATCACTGGGGTGGCCATGGGTGGCCCATCTTGATGAAGTTGGAAACCTGGAATAAGCTGCAAGATTTGGGGCAAAACATCATCAAACTGCCTAGAAAAGCGGTAAACCTGGAAATAACCATGAAGAATCTGGACACGTTAGGGAAACCATGACTCTACCAGTACCATCCTGGCTTAACACTGTTTGGCATCTTTTTGGGGGGATTGCTAGAACGTTTATCCACACCCAATGTTTGAGACGTACATAATTTTACATAACACAGATTTACCAGCAAAACTCAGGGGGTTCACTTTTTGTTCAACCATCATGAAATGGGGATATACAGCCAATATATAGTATGTTGTTACATTGTTGAATCATTACCCTCAACACATTTGTGATCTCAAAGTGAACAGATCCAATACTAAACCAGGTGTGTTGGGGGTGTATTTAAGCTTAGGGGGAAGGGATTGGAACATGAGAAAATTCTATATACAGTAGATTTCCTGAGTAAACAATTTTGACTGCCATTGCAGTGCACAATCTAATCTACAACTAGGAAATTTGCTGGGAATAGTTGTTCTTTTTTATAGGCCACTCAAGTAAACCCAAGTTCTTCCATGGTAAAAGTAATATTGAAGACCCCAACGTGGGAAAATATCGATAGATAACCCTCGCGGCAGTAAACAGCTCACAGAATCAACCCAAAGAATCCCAGCCCTCTACTGGCAATATTCCCAAATTATATGGGCCCAAACCGGATAGATCTACGAAACCATGGTTTCTGGCGATCTTAGGGGGGACAAGTTAATAATTCTTGCCATCTTCATATGTCCATTTGCTGGGGTAGTACACATATATGGGTTAGTCTGAAATGGGATACCCCAAAATCATGTTCTCTGTTGAAATGGTCATTGGGGGCTATCCCCGATTTTCAGACGCACCCATTCCACTGATCCAAGCGGAAAATTCGCACCCTGGTTGATTAAAACAGGAGGACCATTCCCAACAGTAGTATGTCATAATTTCATATAATTTCTGGGTTGCTTACACTATCCGCGAATGACTGTGATGATTGTCGACTTCGCACTTTGGGATCCAATCTGTTTGCCTAGTGGCAAGTAGACTGGACGAATTGTTTAGAATATTCGGGGTGTTCAGTATTAGGGAGATGGATTTTTCAACGTGGGGATGTAGCTTTGTGATCCACAAGGCTCGGTTGCGCGATATAAGCGAAAGGCCGGTGACTCTCAGCTACTCTTGGAAGTTTTTGTCATGCGGATGAGCATCCCTTGGCATCTTGAATATGGAGATACAAGTTGCCAACAAAGTGGTCAATCTCATAGTTTTCTCGCCTGAAAACCAATACAAACAAATTGCATCATTTAGCTGAACTCTTCGAGAAGGCGATGGGGAGAGAAATAATGTAGTTTCCAGTTGATCCAGATGATCAAAGAATGATGCTGGAACGCACACGTGGGTATAGCACCTACCTACCAGATCCTAGCAGTTCGGTAGTGGGATTGGAATACAAAACCTCCCAGTTTCCTCAAGCAAATGCCACACTGGGACCCACATCAGACATCAGAATGGACATCCTATGAGAAATGGAATAGGGACCAGGGTGCTATACCCATGACTTCGGAACGCATTTTCGTTGGATCAATCATGCGGCAATCATCATATGGACCTGCTTCTATCATTTGATGTTCATTATTCGATTAAGAATGGTTGCTTTGTTCTGACTACTTCAAACTATCTCCAACTCTATACCTGGATTAGGTCACAGTTCTAGTTTGCTTCAGTGTGTTTCTGAATTTATTGTTATGCATCACTAGTAAGTTAATTCCAACTTCCAGATAGAAAAGTCATTGCTCATTGATTTCGCGTGATTGCGCTTTACCATCTTTTGGGGGGTTACCCTCTAGTAATTGAACATAGCTATGGAAAAATGCACAATTTATATATATATGTGTGTATAGAATCTAGTTTCCATATCGTTACATGAATTTAACTATTAAAATGGTGACTGGTTGGTGGTTTGGAACATGAATTTTATTTTCCCCAGCCAGATTGGGGATGATGATCCAATCTGACGAACTCATATTTTTCAGGGGGGTGGCTCAACCACCAATTAGGTGATGTTCCATACAGGATGGGCCCCCAGTCGATAGCGTTCAGTTGCCTGAAAAAAGTGGTTGGATTCTATGGTTTATGGTAGATATAACGAACTAGTTTTCATGGTGCCTTATAAGTGGTTGGATTCTATGGTTTATGGTATAGATATATATATATATACATATAACTATAGTGCCTTATAAGTGGTTGAATACTATGGTTTATGGTAGATATAACTATAATTCTAGTTTTCATGGTGGTTATTTCATGGTTTATAAACCAACTAATTCACATCACGTCACTGGGCGCCCCATCCTGTAGCTATGTTAAGCCGCCGAGGTGCCACAGGTGCCATTGAGCCAATGTCCCGTGAAGTTTCGCCGGAAAGCACAGTTTGGGATTGACGCTGGTTGCTGAAAAATGCTGAAAACGGATAAACCATGGTGGTTGTTGAAGTCTACAAAGTATAAACAAAAACATCCAGTTACTAGTCGTGAAACATCACTTAAACAGAGTTTCATCAAGTTTCATCTCCATTTTTTGAATCTCATTTTAGGTTCATTCGTTGATTCTAATCTAGTTCCTGTATTTTTTTCCATTCGGATGATAGGGACTTTCATAGCCGGAGATCAGAGCTGCCACAGCCGCCATTTCGCAAATGATAGGGACCTCACGTTGTGACCGAAACTTGGAATCATGGTCAAGAGGAATTATCCCACGTGTTTGGCCGTTAGTTTCAGGGTGAATTGGTATGAATGATTATAATTTACCCAGATCATTTGCGTAGATGGGACATCATCACCCATCATGGCACAGAGCCAAAGTCTTAATTGTTTGAGACGAGCTGGTGACAAATACCATGAAAGGTTTTTTGTCGTGCCCATGTCCAGTGTGACACGCTTCTTGATGGTTTCGGAGGGGCTTTTGCCTACCTTTAATTGAATTTACCAGAAATCTTTGTAAACCCAATTTTAAACTTTTAAACCATCCTTTCCTTAAACAAATGCCAGGGATAGAATGGTATAAGGAATCATCCCCAAAACTATCATACTCTAGACATCTGTAGAACTTGTGAGCCATGTTTAGCTAGAGGAAAGTAGTCTCCCAAGGCTCAACTCATGGCAGGGTCGATTTTTTGATTGAGAGGATGGTAAGCCATCCCAACAGTTGGAGCTGATAGTAGAAATAGATGGTATATGATTGTGTTCATGGTTTAATCATACACACTAATTTACCTCCAGGTAATTTGACATAGCTGCTAATAGCTATGGAAAATCACCAACTCTTCAATTTCTTTTGATGGAATGAATAGGTACCCCCAATGAAAAAACACTCCATTGATCCAGCTGGTGCCTTTCCGAGCCACTTAGGGTCGGGTCCGGGTCGGGTCCAGTCCAGCTGTGGCATTGAGGCGTTGCTGCGACCCTGGCACTCAACGGCCTGATGTTGCTCTTCTTCGCTTGGGAGTTGCTCGGAGGATTTTGGTTCAGCGCTGCATGGTAGGATCTCATAGTTCCTTGGTTGTTGTTTGCTTGGGTGGAGAAACATGAACATATCACATCATATAACATCATATAACATCAAATAACATCATATAGCATCATATAACATCATATAACATCATGTATCATCATATAACATCATATAGCATCAAATAACATCATATAGCATCATATAACATCATATAGCATCATATAACATCATATAGCATCATATAACATCATATAACATCATATAGCATCATATAACATCATATAGCATCATATAGCATCATATAACATCATATAACATCATATAACATCATATAGCATCATATAACATCATATAACATCATATAGCATCATATAACATCATATAGCATCATATAACATCATATAGCATCATTTAGCATCATATAACATCATATAGCATCATATAACAACGTATAACATCAAATAACATCATATAGCATCATATAACATCATATAGCATCATATAGCATCATACAACATCATACAACATCATATAGCATCATATAGCATCATATAACACCATATAGCATCATATAGCATCTTTTAACATCATATAGCATCATATAACATCATATAGCATCATATAACATCATATAACATCATATAGCATCATATACCATCATTTAGCATCATATAACATCATGTATCATCATATAACATCATATAGCATCAAATAACATCATATAGCATCATATAACAACGTATAACATCAAATAACATCATATAGCATCATAAACCATCATATAACATCATGTATCATCATATAACATCATATAGCATCATATAGCATCATATAACATCATATAGCATCATATAACATCATATAGCATCATATAACATCATATAACATCATATAGCATCATATAACATCATATAGCATCATATAGCATCATATAGCATCATATACATCATATAGCATCATATAACATCATATAACATCATATAGCATCATATAACATCATATAGCATCATATAACATCATATAACATCATATAGCATCATATAACATCATATAGCATCATATAGCATCATATAACATCATATAGCATCATATAACATCATATAACATCATATAGCATCATATAACATCATATAGCATCATATAGCATCATATAACATCATATAGCATCATATAACATCATATAACATCATATAGCATCATATAACATCATATAGCATCATATAGCTTCATATAGCATCATATAGCATCATATAACATCACATAGCATCATATAACATCATATAACATCATATAGCATCATATAACATCATGTAGCATCATATAACATCATATAACATCATATAGCATCATATAACATCATATAGCATCATATAGCATCATATAGCATCATATAACATCATATAGCATCATATAACATCATATAACATCATATAGCATCATATAGCATCATATAGCATCATATAACATCATATAGCATCATATAGCATCATATAACATCATATAGCATCATATAGCATCATATAACATCATATAGCATCATATAACATCATATAACATCATATAGCATCATATAACATCATATAGCATCATATAGCACATCATATAACATCATATAGCATCATATAGCATCATATAGCATCATATAGCATCATATACATCATATAGCTTCATATAGCATCATATAGCATCATATAACATCACATAGCATCATATAACATCATATAACATCATATAGCATCATATAACATCATGTAGCATCATATAACATCATATAACATCATATAGCATCATATAACATCATATAGCATCATATAGCATCATATAACATCATATAACATCATTTAGCATCATATAACATCATATAGCTTCATATAGCATCATATAGCATCATATAACATCACATAGCATCATATAACATCATATAACATCATGTAGCATCATATAACATCATATAGCATCATATAGCATCATATAACATCATATAACATCATTTAGCATCATATAACATCATATAGCTTCATATAGCATCATATAGCATCATATAACATCACATAGCATCATATAACATCATATAACATCATATAGCATCATATAACATCATGTAGCATCATATAACATCATATAACACCATACAACACATATGCTATATCTATATACTTATACATATATATATATATATATATGCAGCACATGATTGACCATGCGAATTCCCCTGGTGTGTTTGACGTCCCAAAAAACCTGAACGCCTTGCCACTTGGGGATGGACCAATGGACCCAAAAAAAACGCTGTAGAATGTGGCCTTACATTTTACTGGGATTTAAACGGATTCCAATGGAAAATCACCTATAAATATGGTTTCTATGGTTTTTTTAATGGGAAACTCACCTATAAACCATATTTATAATGTATTTTCTGGTGGGATTTATGGAAAAATTGTGGTTTAATGGCATTTAAATGGGACATATCTCTCTAATATGGTTAAAACAATGGGAAAGTGTTGGTTTAATGGGATTTAAATGGAACCATCGTGGGTTTTAACCAACTATTAACTATTAATTATGGGGATTAATGTGGGTAAAACAATGTCATTTTTACCACTCATGACTGCGAATGGTAAATGGTCATTGGGGGATGGTTTATTGGTTTATTTTTGTTTTACCAACATTCGTAGATACTATTGATTAGATATCTGGAATGTTCCAAATCGTAAAACCAAAAAAAAACAAAAAACACATTGTGAAAAGTAATATTTGTCAAACGCCTCATGCACCAATCTGAAGTTAGACCAGGTGGCAAAAAGGGATGGTTATTCGAGTCCGAAAAATCTTGGATGAACACCCTTGCCTCGCTTCCACAAACCCACTGCTGTACATCACGCCGTTGGAATTTGTTTCTTGCACAAAGAAACACTGTCATTCTTGCTAAATATGTTGAGCGTACCGGGAGAATTACTACATGATGTGCTAGAACACCGTGCGTCCATACAACTCTACTTGAAAGCTTAGAAAACGACAAAGAACTGGTTTTGTCTCAAAATATGGGTTCCCCATTCAGACCAACCATCATTTCCAGCAAACTGTTTTACCACATGTTGAGAGACATGCATATCTCATATTGTTTAGGTATCCATTGACATTGGGCTGTTAACGGTTGATTTCCATCATATTCCCAACATTCTCCCATGATATATCCCCAACAAATATCAGACAATCATTGACACAGCCGACCTTTGGTCGGTTAGATCCAAATTTTGATTGTTGAATCCTGTCTTATAACCATTGAATGCCACTGGAATTTTATTGGATCCTTATGGCTTTCTGTGGCTTTTGTGATGGCCAACTGGTACTCTCTCAAAGATATATGACCATCATATCCATTGACAAATCAATCTATTAGCAGTTAAATCCACTTAATCCAGCTATTAATTATATATCATATACTGATATCTTATATTCATTGACAATCAGTTCAATCCAGCTGATCTCTACCCCCGTCCTCCAGGCTTTTGTGGCGGATGAATTTCTTTGTGAAGTTCTTGGTAGCTCGGCACAGGGCGCAACTGCTGGCGCTAATGGCACTGGACAAACGTCGATCATGATGATAAATGGGGGCAAGTTACGGGAATATTTCATGATTTATATATGATTTTTATATAGTTTAGGTTATTATTTATATATGTAATTATCTATAAGTCGGATTCTTTTAGTTGGTGGATCTTCTAATTTCCAAATGCGATTAGCAGCGGGTATTCAAACGGCTTAAATGTCTTTCATAAATGTTTGGTAGCAGAGGGCAATCCTTGCCCCAGAAATGTATTGAAATGCAGTCTGCCTACCCCGAAAAATCTTGGTTTTGGATCGTCTCAGAATGAATCATGTGGGTAAAATGAGTAAAACAATGTCATAAACCAACCATTTGGGAATGGTGTATACCACCTATTTATTAAATTTATGGTGATGACTGGGGGATGCCTCGCCCTGCCCACCAGGTCGTTGGGCTGTTGACCTTGCACGCTCATTCCGTGAAGCCACTAGCAGCCTGAGGCACAATAATTAGGGGCTGAACGATGCTGAACGCAAGCCTAAAATAAATAAACCACAGTTGAAGTTGAGATGGCGATGGAGGGAGAGAGAGAGAGAGTTGAAAGTTCAACTGGAACTTTGACCAAGCAAAATTGGGACAATTGAGCCATAATATAACCAGTACAGGAGATGAAACTATGCAGATTATGCAGGACCCAATGATTTTTATTTGCTTAAACCATAGAGAAAATCGGGCGAACCAAAGGAGTTGCCAGCCCTTGAGTGCGGATGGCTAAGCTGAGAAAACGCGGAAGGATTGCGGAACGTGTTTTCACTCCTCCAACTTGAACATGGAACCACCGAAAAAGACTTGGGTTGAGGGATGACTATCATTCCTTAAGGCACAATTGCATAATGTTTGGGTTCCACTTCAAATTTTGAGTGAGTTTGAGTTGCATCGATGTTCGGACAATACTTCTACATGTTCAACAGATCAAAAGTTGGAACAAAAACAGGCGAAGGTAACCATGGGAAGCTTGTGCCAACAAAACTGAACTCCGACATGACTCCCTACTGTTCGAATGGGTCTAGCAGATGATGTGTTTGTCTTCCGGCATTTCCGGTGGGGATGAAAAGCGAGGAGCCTGTGACCCACAGAAGTTGGCAGATTTGGGGGTGGTGTTTTTTCTTTGTTTTTATTTCGGAAGTCGTGACATGTCACACATTTGATCATTGTGAGGACCTACGAACCTGGTCAACCTATATTTATGTATATATATATATATTTATGTAGTCTATGATTTTGATATATTTGAGTCCTAGAAAAGCTACGGCTACCATGTCATATGTTGATTTCAGTTTTGTCGCTTCATCATCCATATCCCCTTCAGCTGGTTGCGAACCATGGGACGTGGCCCTGAAAGGTGACCAAATTATGGTCAGGTTTGGAGGGGTTGAATATCCACGGCCCATGAGCATGCTGGTGGTCATATGTGTTTTTTTTTGATAGGTTTGTATTGTTCCATCATTGGGATGGTCAATGACTCATGATTGCTTTCATTTTTTCTCCGGGGGTGACACCGGGGTGAACGCACCAACCAGTATGAGTTGTTAACATTTCGTTATAGTTGTTTTATCACATAGCACCAGCCAGGCTTAATCTTTCCGGAGAATAGGCCGGCCTATAACCCCATGGTTTATAATCAATTTCCCCAACTAGTCAATGGCCATAGACTGGGATATATTATACCTCATGTTCATTGATGTTCTGAGACACCCATATCATCATCATCATCATCATCATCATCATTATCATCATCATCATCATCATCACCATCATCATCATCATCAAAGTATCCAGCATCAGCACCACAGCCTTTTTCGGGACTTCTTCAGGTCAAACCCGACTTACGCTGGGTGGCCAAGCAACCTCTGGAACAGCGATGATGATCTCAATGTCTGACTCTGTTTCATTTGGACAACTGGAGTTTAAGCATCAAAAGACGAATTTAACATAATTTAACCAACAAACAAGGTTTTTGACCATCAAAGTAGTGATTTAATTGTGAATAATGTGGATTTAATTTGATTTGACCATCAAAAGATGGAAATTAAACTACCAAACATGTTGGTATTGGATATGACGGGGATACGCTGACTGAAGTAGAGCGATCACATCGCGACGTTGAAATGATGGTGATGATGGCATCATCCCTCTATGCACCTGGATTTTAGTTGTTAAAATGTTTCATTGGTTTACCCACCATTTGGGAAACTGCTGAGAATATTTTCCGTAAAAATGGATGTAAAAATGGTTAATTGCCAGCTTCCCAAGGGGAATTGTCCAGTTTCATGATCGTCTCACGCAACCAGCCTGCAATCTCACCCTGTGTCTTGGTTAACACCTGAAACTCCATTGTTGTGGCAGTGTCATTGCTTAATGCAATCGTGTATAGTGATTAATCTTGCTGGTTTGAAGAAGTTGGAACATGTTTAGAACCCATTGAAACCATGTAAAATGCAGGTAAAATGCATGTTCTTTTATATTTCCATATGTATTTCCCCTGTTTTTCCCTGGTTTTTCCCTGTTTTAAAGCCTAAATCGTTGTTTTTTGTGTAGCGTTTCGGCACATGTTCGTCCCGGCACTCGGCCCCGAGGCTTGATCAACACCTTGCTGCGCGGATGCCTTCGTGTCACCGGGATGGGAGGGGACTACGGGTGTGTCCGAAGCTGGCTATGCCATGGTAGACCCTGGTAGATGATGATTCATCTGATGATTCACCATGAAATTTCACCCTGTTTTCAGACAAACCCAATACTGGTGGACCAGAAAGAAGAAAGGGAACACGTGGAGCCTCGGATGACTTGTCCCAGCAGGACGCCCCTCTGTGTAAACCTTGGGTACTTCAAAAAAGTTTTTTTTTTTTTTTCTTGGCATTTGTTAATAAATGATATCTTACCGTAATTAAACATCTATTGTTTATTGGCACGGGGCCATCTATAAGTGGCCCTGACTATATCATACTATATCCGAGTTTACAAGTATGCAATATCCCCAATTATATAAATGAATATTAATTAGATAAGTGGCCCTTTATAGTTATCTATAACCCATATATCCGAGTATTATAATTTATTATATGGGGATTATAGACGACTATAAGTTCTACCATCTGGTTATGACTAACAGTTCGCCATGGAAAGATCCACCATGCATTTTTAAGAACGGTAAACCATCTATTTCGATTAGGGCCATCGAAAAACCATGGCGAACTGTTAGAAAATCACAATTTTTAAGAGGTAAACCATCTATTTCTATGGGCCATCGAAAAACCATGGCGAACTGTTAGTCATACCCAGATGGAATCAGATAGATTATGGTCCCATTTGATCCATTGGTTGTTGGACTTCATGGTGAATCAGCCCCTCTTTATGGTGACCGTGACCATGGCCGTTGTGGGACTGCTGATTCTTGTAGCAACCCCAAAAAAGATAGAACATAAGTTATCCCACAAGTATCATGAGATATCATTAGCTATCTATTTCATAGTATAGGATAGCTGGTAAGGTCTTCTTATAATTCCCATTAATTCTACGACGGCCATTTTTTCCGTCATCGCCTTCAGGTGGGCGACCTGAAAACGGCCGAAGGGGTCTTCAAGCAGCTGCCCAGCTGGCAGTTGCAGCCAGACGTGGGACGACCTCGAAGGGACGGTCGACCGGGGGGACTTCGGATGTGCGGCTGCCAGGCTTCATAAGTTAATTAGATACAACCACAAAAAAGGATGGGGCCCCCGTTAGATAGCGTTCAGTTGCCTGAAAAAAGTGGCTGAATTCTATGGTTTATGGTAGATATTGCCTTTAGTTAATGGTGGTTATAATGGTTTATAAACCAACTTACAACTGGAGGGCCCCATCCTGTATGACTATTTTCCTATTTTCAGTGGAAAAAAAAACAAGATATAACAAGATTTGACAGACCATCCTCCATTTTTTCCGATTTTATCGTGCTTTTTCTGGTGGGGTAGCTCGTGGTCACTGCTAGTGAGAATGGACGGCTTACAACATAAACCATAAAAAACACATCTTGGGGTCATGATGTTTAAACCCCATACGGACGTAGGAATTTTCCACGTTAAGCGCCGGTTCCGAGGCCACCAGCTGCACCTTCATGGGGTGCGACCCGATGGGATGGGGATGGAATTGATAGATGTTTTTTTTTTTCACCCACAACATGGGGAAATATTGACACATATGCAATATATATATATATAGTTATATGTACATTATAAATAATATGACACAGACACATAATATTGTTTCATATAGTAAAAATGTAAAAAAAAAATCCCCGTTGGTTCATCGTCCAGAAATGGGGAATCCTTAGTGAACGGGATTGATATGACATGAATGACATGAATGATCCGGAGACCATGTACCCTCTGGTTATGTCAAAATAGCTATTGAACATGGCCATTGAAATAGTGAGTTTTCCCATTAAAAATGGTGGATCTTTCCATAGTTTTTTGTAAACGTTTACCAGAGGGTATGTTCATGTCAATGAATATGTTTGCACCTCTTTGGTCCGGTGATGGGTGCTGCTCCATGCTGGGCGCCATCCAGGTCTCTGCTCTCGCAAAGTCTCCGTGCAAAGTCAGTTGGGGCGCCACGGCTCCTGGCTACGAGGGGGAGTCATCCCCAAACTTCTTACTTCCAAACCCGTAACCAAGAACATTTGATTCTCACTTTGTACCAATCCTACCAACAATCTTGAATATACCATCTGGATAATCCAACTGTTAGAAGAATTTTTTTTTCCGGAGTAAATCGACAGGAAAGCCACTTGCGGGCGGGATAGTATTTCTTTTTGCTCCCAAAGGGAGAACAACAACCTGCGGCCCCTGATGATCTCAGACTGCGTTCTACATGATTTTGCCGTTTGTGGTGCTGTCCCCTCCCATTTTTGCTTCAAAGTTCCCTGTTCAGCATCCAAGTCCCTTGGCAAAGGCATTGAAGTTCCCCAGATTTTGATAGATTTTGATGTGGGGTGTATCCCATTTTGAGACAAACCCATTGTGATTGAAATCTCAATGTAGCCACTGTCTTGTCTCAAACAGATCCATATCAAGGATGATTGAACTGAGATCATCCCAGATCAGTGTCCACCGCGTGCCCCTGCGCAGCTTGCAGATTGGAGAGTTGCTCCGCTCGCCTCCATTGGTCGGGGGCCCCATGGGGCCCCTGGGTTCCCAAATCCAGTGGTTAATCATCAGTTTTCCAGGGGTGCACCAGTATAATTACCCTCTGGTTATGTCAAAATAGCTGGAATTTCCCATTAAACATGGTGATTTTCCATAGCTATGTTAGTTTACCAGAGGGTACCCCATTTTCAGACACACCCAATGGAGATTTGATGAGTGGTTCTGCGGTTCTTGAATCGACAGCCGCGTTTGTGTTTTATGCACCTGGTAAAAAAATGTATCAACACTGAGATCCCAGATATAGAGCACGTGACCCAGA